ATTTAACAACAGTGCTGGTGATGAAATTTCTTTTGACCAGGACAGGGTCCTAATAGCAGGATTTGATGTGATCAACTGGGTCACTTTCCCAAATCAATCTTTCATTAGAGTAAAAGTTGGAAAGATGGATCACCACATTCCTCCAAAACAAGCATTTTCCATTCATGAAAAGGCAATTGTATGGCACAGCTAGTTTAACCAGGTGCGACTTGAATGCAACTTCTTCAAAGGTATTAATATTTTGAGTTGGCACTGAAAGACTGAGCCAAACAAAACAAAACACCAAATAGTCTGATTTGAGCCCATATCATGATTGCTTTTTTTTTTACTTGTATCAATATGTATTTTAGTGCTTACTCTTCCAAGTGTACAGATCAGCTCAGTGTATCTTTGAATTGTGTACACTGTTCCGCACCTGAGTAAAGTATATTTGTTTGCATTTTCTAAATGTGGAAATTAATTTGTACTTTGTTTCCAAGTTCATGTTCAGTCTGGGCAGTACAAACTGGAAAAATACTGCTTTTAAAAATGAGCTAAGACAAATTCCTCATAAACCCTAAACACATTTTTTTTCCTTGAAGCTCAGGGGATAAAGGGCCATATCCAGTTCCAAGAAAGGAACAGAGTAGTGCTATTTCAAAATATGACCTCCATTTTCCTGAGACTTTTCTTCAACCATGAAAGGGGTTTGTTTTTATCTGCCACACTTCGTGTGCATTCTATTTGGCAGTGTTTACAGTCTTGACCTTGTCTCCTTGAAGTGGCCAGGGAAACTCTCTGTATATGTGCACATTCACATCTGTTCTTTTACTCATCTTTCCATTACTTTGCAGCCTTCTCAGTTTCCAACAATTCCTAGTTAAACAATGGGAAAAAATAGAGCTGAATGAGGAGTTATCTCAGCACACCTGCACGTTAGAGAAGTGACTGTAGAACAATGCCTTTAAGAGATATTCCTCTTAGCCATCTCATAAGTAAGCACCAGAATAAAGACCCTATCCATCAACATTTCCCTGAAATGTTCTTTTCTTTGAATTATTAAGAAAATCTCTTTCAAATTAAATAAAAATAGTTGGAATGGAATAATTGAAAGCTAATGTGGAATAATAGTTTTTGGACACAAGCATAAATAAGGTTATTTAGGGATTTGGAGACATATCTTGCACAACACATGATGATCAAGAAAATTGCATGCTTTGTTTGGTAATACCTTTGCTCCTTTCTTCATTTTTCCACCTTACAGCTTTCATGTAAGGTTGCCAGAAACACATAGTCTGAAATGTTATAAATTAAGTTTGGACACACAAATGAAACTATCAGTGAAGCAGCCTGCAATTATTAGATTACATGTCCAGGAGGGGATGCCAAAATGGGTAATTCTGATACCAGAAACCATAGTGCGGCATCCTTGTAAATTTATTTATTTGATTTTTATCTTTTCCCATTAGCCATAAGGCTCTCTGGGTGGATTACAAAGTTAATTCTTATTCAGTGTTCATATTTTCCATATAGCATGATAGTACCCTTTGAATAATCTCAAGTAAAACTACTCAACATGCAAGCAGTAAGACCTAACAATGACTCTGTCTCCAGTCTCACTTGGGAAAGGAGAACCCTTGGACAAATAGATTTCAGCCACAGGTTCTCAATGTATAATTTATAAACTCAACAATGTATTCCACTTTTGTGTCTAAACCATATGGAGTCTAAATTCTCATTAATGGGATCCCATGTTTATGCAATCCAGTGTGCTAAGCGATTAGCAACTTTTGCAACATTTATCACAGAAAAACTAAACTCTGTCATGCTTTCCATGATGCTAAATTATCTAGAAATATCTCATTCCATTCCAGTTTCTCTTGTACCTTAAGGATCCCAAGCATATTCTTCTGAAGATTAACATTATCTTCTTTCATTCCTGGATTAGGCACAACCCATCTCTGTATGTAATGAGTACTGCCATCCTGGTTCCAGCAAGCAAAAGAAGGAAGGGGAGCCATTCTGCTGCTATGATTGCANCCCATGCCCAGAAGGGAAGATCTCTGACTGCAATGGTGAGATTCCTGATGTAGAAGTTTAATTAGAAAAGTTGAGTGTAACTGAGAACAAATACTTGATCATTATCTTCATGTGTGATCTTTCATGAACTTTTTTCATTGTTCAAGAACAATACTGAAGATGTGTACACATGAGAAAGTGGCATAGATCTGAAATAGAGTGCTTCAATGATACCTAATAATAAGTAATAGGCCAATGGTGCTATTAATGTGTTCTTTTTGTTTTCTTTAGTTTTTAAAAACGTGCAGTCAAAATTGTATCCTTTTCTGTGCCCATAGAAAGACAACCAGGGCTTGTATTTCCATGTAGGAGAACCTACATTAATGCAGATGCCACCCCTAGATTCAGCTAACCAATTATTAGCTTGGGAATGCTCCCAAACAAGCATTATTGAGAGAACAGGTAACTCTGTAAGCTCTTTCGACCTACTTAAATAATTCAGAAGTAACTATCTCCCTCTCCTCTCCTCTCCTCTCCTCTCCTCTCCTCTCCTCTCCCCTCTTCACCCCGCCCCTCCCCTCCCCTCCCCTCTCTTTTCAGATATGACCGACTGTTTTCCATGCCAAGGAGATCATTATCCAAATAAGAATAAAAATGCATGCCTTCCCAAAACTGTAACGTTCTTGTCCTATGATGAACCTTTGGGGATTGGTGTATGTGTTGCTGCTTTTTCATGTGCTTTCATAACAGCCTTGGTATTAGGGATATTTATGAAGCACCATGATACTCCCATAGTCAAAGCTAACAACAGGAAACTCACCTACAGTCTCCTTATCTCCCTCTTTCTCTGCTTCCTTTGTGCATTCCTATTTATTGGCCAGCCTAATTGGATGACATGTCTCCTTCGACAAACTGCTTTTGGCATGATATTCTCAATGGCTGTTTCTTGTGTGTTTGCAAAAACCATGACTGTGGTTCTGGCTTTCATGGCTACTAAACCAGGATCTAGGATGAGGAAGTGGGTTGGGAAAAGATTATCCATCCCTGTTGTTCTTTCTTGCTCCTTTATTGAAGCCGGAATTTGTATGATATGGTTGGCAACCTCACCACCATTCCCAGTTGTTGACAAACATTCCATGACTAATGAAATTTTATTAGAATGCAACGAGGGCTCCGATGCAATGTTTTACAATGTTCTGGGCTACATGGGTTTCCTGGCTCTTGCCAGTTTCATTCTGGCTTTCCTTGCCAGGAAATTGCCAGACAGTTTCAATGAAGCCAAGTTTATAACTTTCAGTATGTTAGTGTTTTGCTGTGTCTGGGTATCCTTTGTGCCAACCTACCTGAGCACCAAGGGAAAACACATGGTAGCTGTGGAGATCTTCTCCATCTTGGCATCTGGTAGTGGGCTGCTCGGCTGCATATTTTTTCCCAAATGTTACATTATTATGCTAAAGCCTGAACTGAACAAAAGAGAACAACTAATGAGGAAACCTTTAAAAGTATAAGTAGTTTTCTGGTGTAACTTACACACAGGATTTTCCCCAAACCTCTCCTTAGCTTATTCACATTGTTCACCCAAAAGCCTACATTTTAATCTATGCAAAAGACAAGCTGTTCTTGAAAGAGTTGTCTGTCTTTATGAATGACATCTTGGGATATCTGTTTTAATTTTTTATTCAATTTATTAATTCTGAAATTAAACAGCAATGCATAAGTGGCATATTCTAATCACAACAATTTATATTAACTGCTGCATGGATAATTTCATTATAGTCATTTCTAAAGAGACACAACACATATAAAGGAAAGGAAAGATAAAGTGTTCTCTTCAAGGGTTAGAAGTTATTCAGTGGACACTTCAGTGTATTCAAAGGGATTTAATAAAATATCAGACTAAAAGAATCTCTAAATTGGACATTTCACCACATTATATGGACTATTTACACTGGGAAATATCCATTAATTGTTGCCACATGGCAACTGGCTCACAGCATCCAGGGTGTCTAGTCTTTCTTCAGCCTCTCTTTTTTTGGGAGCAAGGGTAGTTAGCCTGGACAAGCATTCTCATGTGATGCCTGATGTGTCATGGATACTGACTCAGATTCAGAATGTGAGGAATGCCTCAGTGAGATTGGGAAGGATGGGTTGGTGTAAGATCATGGGATGCAACAGTAGGAGGAGTAGGAGGGGATGTTTATCTCAAGGCCAGCTGCTTTGCTCTGCTGGATCTTTTCTGGCAATGACTCAGGGAAACCATCAGTGGAAGGGACTGTTGAGGATGAGGAGCTCTCAGCCACGGCCCAGGCCCTCTGCTCTGAGCTGGACCCCATGGCGAGGCACCAGGAGTGGTGAGAAGTGCAATTAAATGAGCAGCAAGCAGAGAGGAGACATGCTTGCTTTCAGAGAGTCCCTCCCAAAGGGATGGGGTGCAAAAAGTTCCATAAGGAGAATTTCAGATCATGTGTTTATTTTCTTTGGAACATGCATCTTTCTCAAGTAGACAGCCCTTGTGAAGAATGGCTTGCATTTCCTTGGTGGAACCAGGTCTTGCCTGTCGTCCTCTTTGTCTTGCTCCTCAGTGCTAATAAATTAATTGGAGATAGTACATCTGCTCAAATATAATCAAGGTAACTCTTTCAAGGAATCCCAAAGAGAATATAGTACTTTGAGTCCCCTGTAATTACCCCTGTAATTTGGAAGCCTACAAAACCCCATTGTTCTTTAGCAGCCAATAACAAAACTAATAAAAAGTCTGTGAATGATGACCACAGTTCATCATTCATCCTATCTCCCTTCCATCCAATTCAGAAGAATTTGGGAAAAGGTTTAGAGAGAAACAGGGCTTCATTACTTCAATCCTTGATGTTTCACATTTTAAACTGCAGTGCTGGGGCCCATGGAGATAGTTCATCTTCAAATAAGGACAACTGGATCCAGTGTTAACACATATACTGAGAATGAGTGCCTTAGTGATCATGTCAGTGGCACTGCTTCCCCACATGGTTTGTAAAACTCATGCTGCTAAATGTGGGATTCCAGATCCTTATCACATTCTTCATGAGTATTATAAACCAGGGCAGACAATCATTGGTGGAGTTGTTTCACAGAGCTTCATCCTCTCCAGTCCCAAAGACTTTCAAGAACAACCTCCTGAGAAATCATCTGAAGATCCCATGTAAGTTGTCTATAGTTTACCTTTCAACCATGTTCTCTAACATGCCAATTGTATGGTCAAATCTGAGCTTGACTGGAATTGCCATGGCACCATCTCCATCTCTGTTCACTTCTCCCCATTACCTTCATTTAGAATATTTCACAAATGCACCAGAAGTTTGTTTTACAGTTGACCCACCTAATTGATAAGGTGCAATGCTCCTTTAGATGCCATGTACATAAAAGCCATGACAATAGGAAGTTATGAAATTGCATGGAGTTCACATGCTTGGACTGGGACTGGAAGTAGCCAGCAGGCTGAGACCTATTAGGCTGTTGTATTGTAATGGAGATGAAGTGGATATGCAAATAACATGTACAGAAAACAGGTGCTTTAACTTACACAAACGGATAATTAGAATACATTGAGAATCTGACATATTATTTTGCTTATGATTATTAAGCAATTGCTTTTGATTATCATTGTGATTCATTAGCATTTGCTTTCTTCTACTTTTCTTTCTTTCCTCTGCTCATTTCTTTTTCATACAGTTTGCCATAGTGTTGACCAACATCTGATGTTAGGCACCATCTTTTCTTTCTATTCACACACATTGTTCCCTCATATTCAGCATATTAAATATACAAGACATATCAATCAACACAATAATGCACATCCACTTTTAAGCTCTATATTCCAAAGTAATACATATGTTCTATATTCTTAGAGTACCTGCATTTCAATGAATTCAATCTTTTCAAGAAATGTGCAGACAAAGCACTGTCTTTCCCACTTTCATTGCCCATGGGAGCTCCATGGCCATGCTTTTAAAGTTGTTACAGCCTGAAGCAGTTTACATTGAGGTTGCTTTCATATATTGCCACATTTGAATAAGATAGTTTTTGTATTTGCAGCTAAAGTACACAGAGTTCTGCAATGGCTTTGTCTGAGAATGTGTACACTGATAATTTTAGAATATGAAAATTACTCCAGCTTTCATGTAAAAAGTATTAGTTTTTACTTCTTTTAGTTTCTTGTCTAGTACAACCTGATCTATTTCACCTGCTTAAGAGGGTTGTTCATCTAGTGGTATAATGGGGAAATTATGTCCTGCTTGAACTGAATTGCTCTAAGAGATACAATTCTTGTTTGTTTGGTCTCTTTGTCCCAGTCAAATTGTGTTACACACAAGATTAATGTTTATCTGTAATGCCTACAATCCAACAAGGTTGGATAAACAAGTAGCAAGTGCTGCTGAAGTGTCAAGTTTCTTTTCAATTTGAAACTTGAAAACATTAAGTCCAGCATTAAATGGAATGAAATTCATCAGTTAATGGCCACAGAAGTAATAGTGAGCCAAGAAGAAAACATAATATTACACCATGTGGAGCAAACTTGTAAAACATGAATATGCACACCTTTTTGTAGTGTAGTGCCTAAGAACTACCAGCACATTCTTGCCTTGTTATTTGCTGTAAAGGAGATCAATGAAAATCCTGAGATCTTGCCAAATGTCACCTTGGGATTCCAAATTTATGACATTTATTCTGATGCTGAAATGACCTATCGTGGCACAATGCAACTTATTTCAACAAAGAACAGATTTGTCCCCAATTTCAAGTGTGACATCCAGGACAATCTGATTGCAATCATTGGGGCACTTCGTTCAGATGCAACCCACCAGATAGCAAACATCTTGGGTATCTACAGAATTCCACAGGTAGGAGATATATGGTCAGTACAGAAAAGCAAGTATTTGTGCACATTTTCCCCCAGCTGTGGTTTTACATTTCAAAAATAAGTAGACATGACTATGTGTGTGAATGCCATATCCAAATTAAGTAAATCAATATTCAGTATTAGTTGATAGTAATTATTTCATAGTAAAGGAAGAACATCCTGCTTTTCACTAAGATCATGCTAACCCCATGGATACATTCTGAATCTTGCTGAAAGTGGCACTTGAGAAAGAGGAGTAAGAACAAGCATGCACTGACTCACTGCTGCCAAAGAGAGCCTCTACAGTGTGAAAGGTCTCACCCTCTGGAGAACCCAGTTTTTCCAGGGTTCTGCATCATGCAGAAAACAGATAAAACAGGGTAGCAGCTGCAAAGTCTGGTCCTGAAAATGAGGAGGGTATAAAGAACAGTGATGGAAAGTTTGGAGTGTTTAATGTTCCTTCACCTCTTGTGTATTTGTGAGTAAGATCCCCACAATCAAAGATTAACTATGTTATATATATGCTATATGGAAATATATGCAGGTTGGAAACATGTCAAGAATCCATCTACTGATTCAGTGCCCATTCATTCTTCAGCTCTTCATGCTGAGCCCTCATTACTGGAGTAGAGGGAGACCCTTCGTTTGGGTTTGTTTCTCAATCTTTTCTCTTGAGAACGTCAAGGACCACATAGGTTGGCATGTTTTCATTCCATTTCTTTATCGTAACTTATCCTTACTTAAAGCTATTGTGGCAAAAATACTTTGTGTAATATGGGAACAAACTATATTACCTCAAGCAGGTTTGCTGGACTGGCCACTTTTTTTAAAGCACAAAAGGCTCTTATTTGGATTGGGCAAGCATCATTTTCTCATCAGTACACCCACCCATTGTACTAGCCCACCAGTGTGCTCTCAAAAGTCTAGTTTGCACTCCTAAAATGGAATAGAGGAGAAATATAAAATTTAATGATATTCAGAATGTGTAGCTTCTTCCACAAGCAAATAATACTATCTCATGTGTGTCAGGAGAAAAAAGAGGAGGGGAAAAAAAGGAAAAGAAAATAACAGCAGAGTGACAACTGGTCTTCTTCTCTACTTTTTCTGTAGAGAGTACATTGCCTTCCCCCACAAACATAGATGAAAGATAACAGTAGATTTTGGAGGAGAAATAATCCTTGTCAATTTGGTCCACTCAAAGTAGGGAATGGAGCTATTATCACATGCATAAATAATATACCAAAGTGCACTGCATTGTGCATATGCCTAAGTACATTTGAAATGCTTCTCTCTGCTCATCTTCAAACTTACCTTCAGCTCTCATATGGATCTACTCCAGGGAAAGCACATAGGAATGTATTCCTTACCTCCTATCAGATGGCACCAGATGATGGCCTTCAGTATATGGGGATTCTTCAGTTACTTCTCCATTTTAAGTGGATATGGATTGGATTCATTGCTGATGATCTAGAGAGTGGAGACATGTTTTTGAAGCTCATGCTTCCATTATTTTCCAAAAGTGGCATCTGTTTAGCTTTCGTAGAAGCATGTCCCAAATATGTGACTTACGACAATGACAAAGCAGATGTAATACAAAAAGGGATTGAAATGTATGCTAAACTCATGAGCAGCAGAGCCAATGCCTTGGTCTTCTATGCAGAAGCAGATTCTATCTTCTTTTTGAGATGGGTTCTGTTCTTACCTGAAATAGAAGATATGATCCAAAAGCAGAAAGGCAAAGTCTGGATTCTGACAGCTCAGATGGAATTCAAATCATTTGTCTTCCAAAGAGAGTGGGATATACAAGCCATCTGTGGTGCTATAACTCTTGCAATTCATTCTAATGAACTCCAAGGATTCAAAGAATTTATTCGAGGAAGAAACCCTGCCAGTGCAACAGGAGATAGTTTTATCAGGGACTTCTGGGAGCAGGCATTTGGCTGTGTCTTCCCAAACTCTGCCCTGGGTAAAGCAGAGGATGATATCTGCACTGGAGAGGAAAAGCTGGAAAACCTTTCTGGGGCATTTTTTGAAATGAATATGTCTGGCCACAGCTACAGTATTTACAATGCTGTCTATGCTGTGGCCCATGCCTTACATGCCATGCTTCTGTCCAGATCCAAAACCAAAAGAGTGGTGGAAGGAGAACGAAGGATACTTCAGACTAATCAGCCATGGCAGGTAAAACCTGTGAGAAAGACTTGGAGGTTATGCCATTTCCCTGTACATCCTTCCACTACTGCAAAGGTACAGAATATTAAACAGTTTAGGTGGAAGTGAATTTGAAGGCCATGGTCACCCATATCTGCTTGTTCATACTGTGATTCATACTCTGAATCAGCAACAGAGGCTCTGCTTGTGTGTCTACCTCTAAAAGCAACCAGAGTGCATGGAACTAGTGGCAATGCCTACTTGGTAGTGTCCCCCACAATCGACATCTGTCATACATCGTTACATGCTTTCAAAAAGCCCTAAACATTTCACTTATCACCTTGCTCAATTAAGTTTGTTGTGCTTCATTGTATCAAAGTGTTCTAGCTATTTTTATTTCATTCTTTTTATTGCAATTATTTTATTGTTCTTGAGCACAGTGAACTTGTGAGTCCTAGAAAGCCTCCTCAGATCCAAATAAGAATAGGAACACTTGCAATGGAAATGATAAAGGGATCTTTTCAAAGGTGGAGAGGCATAGAGTCCAATAGATCCTTAGTGCTCCAACCTCCTCCTCTTCCTTTTCAAAGTCCCAAAGCTAGGCTGCTGAAATCAGTGTCTGGTTCACTTGCAAAATGGGAAGTGCAGAAGTGAAGGTTTGTGCCACATGGAAAGCAAGGAGCAGGTCATTTCATAACAGAAACACTACCATAGAGAAGATAGCAAGCCATGTGAGATAAGTTAAATTGAAGAAGTGTGGGCTTAGCTTCCTGGTTTTCTGGTGTTATTTTTGTTACCCATTTGTGCTTTCCCATTCAATCTAGTTGCACCACTTTCTGAAACAAGTTTCATTTAACAACAGTGCTGGTGATGAAATTTCTTTTGACCAGAATGGAATATTAGTAGCAGGATTTGATGTGATCAACTGGGTCACATTCCTAAACCAATCTTTCATTAAAGTAAAAATTGGAAAGATGGATCACCATGTTCCTCCAGAGCAAGCATTTTCCATTAATGATAATGCAATTGTATGGCACAGCTGGTTTAACCAGGTAGGACTTACATGTGACATTTAATGATGTATCCAAATTTTGTATTAGGACTGAGATATTGCAAGATTCACACTATAGAGAAAAGAGCTACTCTCAGCAAGATTCCAGTTCTGAGGACTTCCCTTTTTCAACTCCAAATCATTTCCCATAATAGTTCCATGTTGCTGTTTTCCTTTCTCTTTTAAAATGTCAATAAAGGGAAAATGGAATAGAGATAGACAGACACATGATGGATGGATGGATGGATGAATGATAGGTGATTGATAGCTAACCTATGATAGAGGATATAATGTGTGGGTGAGAGAGAAGGAGAGAGAGAGTTTTGTATATCCATATCCGTGAAAGCAAATGGAGTGCTTATATATGCATCTATCTATCTATCTATCTATCTATCTATCTATCTATCTATCTATAGCACCTTTATATGCCATCCACTACCAAGGTCTCGGGATACAAGAGCTTTACAAGCTTTCTAGCTTTACACATAAGCTTCAACAACACAAACTAGATATTCAAATAATATTCCATCAAAAGGTGATGTCTATATGACAGTCATTTAAATATTAAAATTGTTGCAAGACTTTCAGTCCATTGTATTATAGGAAATGAACATTTATCTTTTCAATGTTGTGATGGCGATTTTTGTTTGGTTTTATTTTTTATTCTTTTGGGTTATACTACCCTAAGTATTTTAATCCGATTTTTACAACAACTTCTTTAATCATTGCTTTAGGTTCAGCCTACTTCTTTGTGTAATGACAAGTGCTATCCTGGTTTTAGCAAGAAAGGGAAGGAAGGGGAGCTATTCTGCTGCTATGATTGCATCCCATGCCCAGAAGGAAAAATATCTCAAGAGAAGGGTAAGAGTTCCTCTGTAGAGAGTAATTAAGGAAGTTGCATATAATTCACAGCAGGATTAATTCACATCAGCATGTCTGTTTCCTCATCACTTGAAATGTGTGCACTACACATGCAAAATTACACAGATTGGGAAGTGATCAGTCCCTAAATATTTGCGGTGATGCCACTAATAGGTGCATTTTTACATCATCACCATTTAACTGCTGCTGAGTGTCAGGGTCTGTGCAGCTCTGTGGCTCTCCCTGAGGGTCAGGATTGAAATGACCACCATAGTGATTACAAGATTAGGCACAGGCCCTTCCTGGACTCTCAGCCTGAGAGAACTGAGGGAAGAGCCTTATGGGAGCAAACTCTTTCCTCCAGAGGCTGCCTCAGCTATGTAGGTCTTCCTGCTAAGTGTTGCATAGCTCATTCCCTGCACCTTCCTGACCCTGACTGCATCCTTCTTTCCACCCTTTCTGCAGCTTCTGCCATTCCTGAAACTTGCCTGCTCCCTCCTCTGTTTGTTTTCCTGTTTCTTGACCTTTGACTTCCTCATGAGAATGTCCTGGCCTTGTCCTTATTTGTTCCAGAAGGCCTGTTTTTCAGCCATGCATCAGTCTCTGACTCATTGCCAGGTTCTGAAGAGTACTTGACCTGTCCGCTGCCCTGAAGCCTGATACCCTGGGTCCTGGCACTGAGGAAGTGCAATGAGGAAATGGAAAGGAGCTGGTGCAGCCCATAGTCTGTGTTCAGTCTAGAGCAGCACATAATCAGAAGACAGGGCCCACTCTTTTTTACGGTAGGGAAAGGATAGGGAAGCAAGCATTATATGATCATTTACTATGAAAACCCCTCTTTGCCACTGCTTGAAACTTTTAGCACCCCATGATGTCATCAGTAATCCTCACTATGATCCTGTAGGTACCTTCTGCATTTAATAATGTTTATCCTGAATGGGTTCTCAAATGTGAGAGTAGTACTTCCACAGTATTTGTCAGACTTATTCTGTATGGAAGCCACTTTCAAACTAAAACAATAGATCTAGAAATCAAGGGCAACCTTCCCATGAGGTGGTCAGGAAAGGGTCCCCACTCACAAGCCTACTCAGCCTGCCCCATGCCCCAAATGCTGCAACTGAAAGTGTCTCTGGAGTGACCTGTGTGATGCATCAGCTTGACATTCCAGAAAGGCTGGCACTGTAGAAGGCAGGAACTAAAGACAACCCCATCAGCCTCTCTTCTGCTGCCACTTTATGACCACCTCATTTTGAAGAAGGAACATGCCCCAATAGAGGCATTAATGGCAGCACAGAGACAGTGTGTGAGCAGCAAGACAAGATGTCTTAAGCACTGGGATATCTTCTTCCTCCCTTGCCCATGTTAAGTCCTTTATTGTGAAAGGAGCCACAGCTTTTCTTATATTTCTTTTTCTTTTCTTTTTCTTTTTTCCAGATACAGTTGAGTGTTCTCTCTGCCCAGAAGATCATTATCCAAACATGGACCACATTCTATGCCTTCCCAAACCTGTGATCTTTTTATCTTATGAGGAGCCTTTGGGGATCAGTTTAGCTGCCAGTGCACTTTCATTCTCTTTGACAACAGTTGTGGTGCTACACATGTTTCTGAAGCACCGCAACACTCCTGTTGTCAAAGCCAACAACAGGAATCTCACCTATACACTCCTCATCTCCCTCTTGCTCTGTTTCCTCTGTGCATTGCTATTCATTGGGAAACCTAACAGGGTGACATGTCTCCTCCGACAAAATATCTTTGGCATAATCTTCTCCATGGCTGTTTCTTGTGTGTTGGCCAAAACCATCACAGTGGTTTTGGCTTTCATGGTCACCAAGCCAGGATCCAGGATGAGGAGGTGGGTTGGGAAAAGGTTATCCACCTCTGTTGTTCTTTCTTGCTCCCTTATTCAAGGAGGACTTTGCATTGCGTGGCTGGCAACCTCTCCCCCATTCCCACATCTTGACATGCTTTCAAAAGATAACACAATTCTATTTGAATGTAATGAGGGCTCAGTGACCATGTTTTATTCTGTCTTAGGCTACATGGGTTTTCTGGCAATTGCCAGCTTCATTGTGGCTTTCCTGGCCAGGAAATTACCTGACAGTTTTAACGAAGCCAAATTTATCACTTTCAGCATGGTTATGTTTTGCAGTGTTTGGTTATCTTTTGTCCCAACATACCAGAGCACTGCAGGAAAATATGTGGTAGTTATGGAAATCTTCTCCATTTTAGCCTCGAGTGGTGGGCTCCTGAGCTGCATATTTTTACCCAAATGTTACATTATCATACTAAAACCTGAACTGAATAACAAAGAACAACTAATCAGAAGAAAATCTTGAAAGGTAGTATTACACGCATGATGCATGCTTTTTTTAAAAGCCTGTGATAGTCCATAGCTGTAAAAGAAAGCCCTTTCTCATAGAAATCCCAATTAAAAATATTTTTAAAATAATTTGGAGTGTATGATGTGCTTACAAAAATAGCTTTATTTAAATGACCTTCTTATGAAATGAAACTGCTACTCTTTAAATCCCACCTCAAGTTAGAACATCTGCATTTTAGTGGCTGTCTGGAGAGCAGAACCTTGCATGGGACAATATGTTCAGGCCTTGATATTCTGAAAAACCATGTACATGTGATACAGGATACTAGAACACTCAAATGCTTGGTGGTGGTGACAAAAGAGGAAAATCCTCCATACTTTCTTTCCTAAGACATATTGTTATGGTTCCTCTGCTCTGACACACAGAACTCTTAAGGATAAGGGATATGCATGTTTGAGGAAATGGGAAGTGGTGGGGTAGGAATGTGAAAATCCATGAAGAACTGAAGAGAGAAAAAAATATTTTTCTAGTATTCAACAGGGTCAGAAAATTAATCAAGTTATTTCCTCCCTTCCTGTAAATCATCAGTTTATTTCTCAATCAAACAGACTAGCTTGGGGCAAGGTAGCCACATTTTATTTTCCCTTTGTGCCCTTTTCAGTGCTCCTGCAGCCTGAGCTTTGTGTAGTCTTTATAGTTAAATTTATCAACATCATATTTTGCACCAGGGTTTTGCTTCAGTTCTTCAGGCTTCCTTCTGAAAAGCATCAGTTCAAGCACAGGTATCTGTCCTACATTGTGTACAGTGAAGACAGATGGAAAGAATTTATTAAGCTTCTACCTGATCTCCTTATCCCACTTTAGTACTGCTTTAATTCTATTGTTATCTAATGATCCAATTACCTCCCTAGTTAGGATCCTGCTTTAGAGTCAAGTATTCTTTATTGTTGGCCTAAATAATGACGTATGGAAAGACATCTAGGAATGCTTGGGTGAGGGAAGAAAACACCACAAGGCCGGAATAATTTACATATGTGGAAAAGATTCCTTCCCAAACAGATTAATCCTCATCTATTAATCTATTTATAACTAATCAGCAAATCAACAAATTGATTTTAAGATTAATTAATTTATAACCAATTGACTTACAAGAGGGTGAACAGTGCAGTCAGAGAAAAGGAGTTTTTCAGCTCTGCCCTCCCAGTGGGACAATGTCACTGCTGATTAGATTCCAAGGATGGGTCTGAGACCAGTGTGGTTGTCCCCATTCCTCCAACAGACAATCATAAGTGGGTTCCCACACAAGTTGAGACCTGGTGGTACAAGCAGCATGTTGCAAAATAATTGTGCATTTAAGGATGTATCCGTGTTTTGTTGAGAGACTGCTAAATCAAAAGCAACTTACTTTACTAAATTTGTTCCTGGGGTTACAGACGGGCCCTTGGGTGAGATTGGACCCTTTTTCTGTGCTGTGCTAATAGGGAATAAAGAAATCTGGAATGTTTTACCACCAGATTCTCTTATGATTATTTTAATACACAAAACAAAGAAGAGAATACAGGATGGATGAAAAACAGGTTCAGTTCATAGACATTTTTACACTACTCTTTACATTTCCTGAACATACACAGTAACTAGAACGTAATTATGTTGATGCTATGTAACATGTAAAATGTAACATGGGAAGAAGGTGTACAAAAGGACATTATCTTGAAATAAATGACTTTAAAATGCATATTTTGGGGAGTATATGCAAAAGGATGTATAAGCAGATATGCATACATAAATGTGGACAGATTTTTATGAAGACTTTACAGAAAGTGGTGCAGAAATGGGATGGAATAAATTTAATGTTGGAATAATGAGAAACACGACAGAATTAAAGCTAACAGGAAAGTCCTAATAATAAGCCTCTTCATGTTACATAAAAATAGCTATTCAATTAAAATAATCCCTTCATGATAAATGTAAGAGAATGTGACATGAAGGTACACATAATGGCATCTCAGGATACTTATTTACATGCCTAGACTTTCATTAAATGAAAGTGGGCCAAGCAATAAGAAAAATATACATATCCAGACTTTGTTTGATTTTGCCATTTTAAGTGAATAGCAGGAATGAACCATGTATCCAAATCATCTGTTGCAGCTGTTGTTTTAAAAAAAAAAACAAGTTAGGGGCACTTTGGATAGGCTTTCTTCATATAATGTGAAATCTCTCATACTGTCCGAGTACAGAGAAGCTACAGTAGTTCTACAGGTGACATGGTCTAAAAGTTGAATCTTAACATGATCCTGAACATTTTATCTTATATTATCACATTGTGCAATTTTGGAGGAGTTTCAAATCAACTTTTCAGTTGTGGTCAAATGAGTAGAAAACAATTAACCAAGCTTCAACATTTCCTTCATGATTGCTACTTTACATTAGCCTATCATTCTGGACATTTCCCTGTGTATTTTACCTTGAGTCACCTCTGTAATATATACTATTTCCCTAGCAATTGTGTTCAAAATCATAAAGGGAAAGAATGAATTCCTTCTATAAAACTTGAAAGTCATTCTTTCCATAAGACTTTCCCCTGTCACTAAAAAAAAATCAAAAATAATAATTTACTGCACAGAAATTATTATAGCATCAAATCCAACAGATGCCTGCATGAGAAAAAAAAGCCCTTATCTGTCAGCATAAGGACAGCAAGCAGGCAGCTCACCTAGTTCCTCTCAGCAGGGAATTTTAAACCCTGGAAGCTGCCAGTGAGAAGGTCTTGTTTCATGCCCCTAGTAAATGTGCCTCTGGTGCTTCCCCAGATGATCTTAAAATATGGCAGGATCATATGAGAGAAGGCTGTTCTAAGAACCATGATGGATCAGATTAAGGGGCCATCTAGTCCATAATTCTGTTTGCAAAATGTTTTGCCCACAGAAAACTCATATGCAGGACGTGAATGCAACAGCTCCCTACCACCCAAGGGTCACAGCAACTGGTGTACATAGGCATACAGCCTCTGAAACAGGAAGTAGCATATAGCTTTCAGAAATGGGTAGTTTTGATAGCCTTCTCCTCCATGAATTTGTCCAATCCCTTTTTCAAAACAAACTGATTGGTTGCCATCACTACATCGTGTGGTAGCACAATGCATAGCTTAATTATGTTCTATGTGAAGGACTACATCCTTTTAACTGCCTTGAATCTTTTCCAACCAGCTTCACAAGGTGACCCTGTGTCCTCGTGTTATGAGGCAGGCAGGAAATAATTGATCATTGACTAATGGGATGAATGCGCTCCCCAGAGAGGTCCGCCTGGCGCCGTCGTTATTTGTTTTTCGGCGCCAGGCGAAGACCTTTTTATTTATGCAGCATTTTAAATGTTAATATTATTGAATTTTATTCGGCCAGGGCAGCTTATTTTATTTTACTGTATATATTTTATTTGTCATTGTTTTAATGTATTTTGTATTCGATGTTGTAAACCGCCCCGAGGCCTTGGCAAGGGACGGCATAGAAATGTTTTAATAAATAAATAAATAAATAAATGAACTGAACAGTGGCCATTTCTTATCATACCCTTCTTAACTGATGACACTGTGGGAAATTATACTTCCATTTTACACATTTTTCAACTTAAAAAGTAAGGGTTTCATGGAATAATGCCTAAATGTGAGGCTCAGAGGGAAAAAAGCTAATAATAAAATGTGACCATTTAATTCTAATGATAAAATAGGAAGTGTTTAAGAGGCTTGCTGAGCTGTATCTAGGAAACAGGAGATGCAGGGAAAACTCTTAGTCATTTTTAAGCATACAGAGAAACTTCACAGGTTCATCAGTGATTTCTCCATAAAACATGCTCTTTCTGGTTCAGCTGAGGCCTCAGAAGAATAATGTAACATTTAGGGAAAAATATAAAACCCAGCAATCCTGCACTGGAAGATATGATAGAGAAGATCTCCACAGCCACCATGTATTTTCCTTTGGTGCTCACATAGGTTGGAATAAAGCACAGCCAAACACTGCAGAATAGCAACATACTGAAACTGATGAATTTAGTCTCATTAAAGCTTTCTGGCAGTTTCCTGGCCAAGAAAGCCATAGTGAAGCAGATAATAGCTAAAAAGCCCATGTAGCTCACAAGACAGTAAAACATGATAGTGGATCCTTCATTACACTCTAGTATATTTTCTTCCAATACTTCTGAGTGCATATAAAAATTTGGGAATGGAGGATAAGTTGCTAGCCACAAAATGCAAATGCCTGCTTGAATGAGAGAACAGGCTAGAACAATGGAGATGGCCAGCCTCTTCCCCACCCATTTCCTTATCCTGGAGCCAGGTTTAGTGGCCTTAAAAGCTAGAATCACTGTAACAGTTTTTGCCAACACACAAGAAACAGCCACCAAGAATATCATGCCAAAAGCAGGTTGCCGTAGGAGACATGTGATCTTATCTGGTCTGCCAATAAATAGTAATGCACAAAGGAAACAGAACAGAAGGGAGATGAGAACTGTGTATGTGAGATTCCGGTTGTTTGCTTTGACTATGGGAGTGTCCTGGTGCTTCACAAACAATTGTAGAATCAGAGCTGTTACCACAGAAAAGAAAAGAGCAAAACTGGCTAAAACAATTCCCAAAGTTTCTTCATAACTAAGGAATGTTACACCTTTTGGAATACATGAATTCTGATCCTTGTTTGGATATTCCTCTTCTGGGCACTGAGTACAATAATCCATGTCTGAAAGGGAAAGTTGAAAATTAGTTGCAATTACTTTAATCTTCCCATCATAGTGTCTATCCAATGTATTATTCCATATTCAGTGGTATGTAAGGATTACTTGGAATGACAGCTAATAACAAAGACTGTCATTAAGTAGATTCCTCCTCTGTGTGTGTGTGTTTATCCACTTCACATTCATGTCTATGGGAGCACTCACATTCATGTGTGTGTTATTTCTAGAGTAATTAGATGAATAGCAAGTATTTTAACATCATATGAGAGATTAAAGGAAGTGGAAAAAGC